ACTGTCAATCATTCTGGTGATGTGTTTATGTAAGGTCGTCCTACGTGCTCGTCCAGATTTTTACTTCCTGATGGTGAGTCTGACACAGTGGAAAAATTGTAAATCTTCCTTTGCAACGTAAACTTGAATGAACAATGCAAACATCAACTTATAAAGGAGAAAATGGGCTTGTGCACGCTCTCGCGTGAGTTGAAGCATAAGTTTAATAGGGGTTCCCTCTCAGGAGTGGATACAGGATTCTACATGTGCATTTTTCTTTTTTTTTAAGCAGAGAGGGTGAGTCTTTTTAAAAATTTGCGAAAATCCTCCACTTTACCTCACACTGATTACAGCACTACCCAATTGAAGGAAAATTTTTCTACAAATCTGGATGTTAATGTCCTTAGACTTAATGTTCTTAGTTTTGACAAATGGTAACAGTGTCAAATTTAACTTAATATCATCTTGAAAAACAATTTATTTTGGTATGTGGTGAACTGCAAGTTGGGGCAGTCCAACAACAAAGAAATTAATTGTCTGGGTGAAACAAAATATTTTGATGGATTTAATTTATTTTTTAAATACTAACAGGCCATAACGAAAATTAGCTTAAATGAAACAAAAGTGGCGGCACAGTTTCACAGTGGGTAGCATTGCTGCCTCGCAGCAAGAAGATTCCAGGTTCAATTCTTGTCCCGGGGTCTTTCTGCATTGAGTTTGCAATTTTCCCCTGTGCATCCATGGTTTCTCTCCGGGTACTCCGGCTTCCTCCCACAGTCCAAAAACATGACAGGTTAATTGTCTTCTCTTAATTCTCCTTAGGTGTGAGTGTGTGAATGATTGGTTGTCCTATTTGTCTCAGTGTTACCCTGCGATGGACTGGCGACCTGTCCAGGGTGTACCCCACCTCGCGCACATTGCCAGCTGGAGATTGCACCAGCACCCCTCGCTACCCCATAGGGATAAACGTGACGGAAAACAGAGGGAAGAAACAAAAGTAATGAGTCTATTTTTAAAAGTAAGGAGTAGAAAGTAGAGATAATTGCTAAAGTTGTGTAAAAATAATTACCAGTAAAGTATAAGAGCCAAAATGTCTATTTAAGTAAGGTAACAGAGTGTTTGTACTTTGTTACTTCACACATCTCTGTTTTATAGCTCCAGAAATTGTTCACTTATAACTCCGGAAACATAGAAAGTCCAGAGGGAATTCTTAATTGAAAGGTTCTACTGTTTACATTTTGGACAAAGAAAATAGGTGGCTTGAAAGGGGCCTGAAGGAAGCTATCTATGTAAGGAACCTTAAGCAGAGGGGGGGGACTCAGGTTTCAGCTTTCAAAAACCTACAATGCAGTGATGGAGTTTATTCCTTCTCGCTATGATCGCAAACCCAACCCCTTTACATGGGAACAGAAGACTTCGCCTATTCAGCCAGGCCAACAATTCCCTTTAACGACCCCCCCAACCCCTCTCAGAGACATAGACAGGTATGGGTCATTGCAGGCTAACAAAAGACGCCAAACGACCCCCATTCCAAAGGGGGGGACCCATTCATCCGTTTCAATTTGCATGTTTTCTAAACAAAAAAAAGGCTTTGTTGGGCTGCTGGATAAAGCTTAGAACTCAACCCTATTCCTGACATTTTGAATTAAAAAAGCTTCCTGGATGGGAAGCGAAACGTCTTTAAACTTGGAAAAAAAGTCCAGTGGATTGTTTTTTTTTTACTTTTTTGGATTGACTATGATCTGGATGACTGAGAATCTTCACCAGTTTATTCTTCTATGTGTGATGATGAGTTTTCACCGACAGACCAGCTGTTGGTTTTCCTCTCTGAATCTCAGACACGTCTCATACCAGCTGTCAGCTGAAAGGATTGAGGAGATGCTTACTGTACGGTGTGAATGCTGGGATGGTCCCTGCAGGCATCAACCAGAACCTCGGCTGCCTTGTCGCCGATCACATTATAGGCAACGTTGAGCTCCTGGAGCCCAGTGTGCAGCTGGAGCCGTTCAGCCAGAGCCAGGGCCGCGCTGTCCCCCATCCCGGTGTGCATCAGGGACAGGTAGGTGAGGGACTGGTTCTGTGGCAGCGCCTCCAGCAGGATGCAGACCCCAGAGTCCTCCAGCGGGTTATCACAGAGCCTAGAGGACAAAACGGCTCCTCTTTTTACCAAGAACATCAACAGAAGCACAGCCATAAATTTAATAAACCTATAAACAAACCTAAGAATAAAAAGTTGTGAATTGAATTTCCATTTATTTATTTTAAATCCTTTGACTGATTCATTCTAAATCTTTCTCCAATTGTTAACTTTGAATAAATTTGGATTTAAATTGCAATTATTCTGTCCATACTTTAAATTATAAAGCCAGACAATATTTTTTATCTTTTTTTTTTTATCAAACCCTTAAACTTTGAGTTTTAGGGTTTAAAAGGACGATCGAATCGGAAACATTTAAGGGATTATAATTTTTCCCTCCTGGTGTTAGCAGGAGCGTCAGACGGTTTTTACTACAGGGCACCTTCTGATCTAAATTGCAAAAAGCTGAAATCTAGTTATTTGTCTTAAAATACTGCATGTTTTTTTCTTTTTCTTGAATTGAGGAGGTAAGAGACAATTTACCTGCTCAAATTAATAATAATAATGATAATAATTGAACTTTATTGATTTCCTTCTGGAGAAATGTATCTCAGCATTTAACCCATCCACTTGGGGAGCAGTGGGCTGCCATTGTGTGCGTTGAGTTTGAAGCTTTTTACAAAAGCAAAAAAAACTTGTTTTGGCTTAGAAAACATCTAACAATTAAGCCAAAACAAGTTAGTGGGTTACTATATAAAGCTTCAAACTCAACGCTAATTCTAACATTTTGGGAAGCGAAACATCTTCAAACTTGGAAACGAAGGCTAGTGGATTTTTTTTTTTTTTTAACTTTTTTGTAATGGCTATGATCTGAATGACTGAGAATCTTCACCTGCTTATTTCTAGATTGTTTTTTTTTGCAGTTAAAATCTGTTTATTTTAAGGTTGGATTTGATCCAGTCCTTTTCCAGTTAGAAATTATGCATCTAAAAGCATTAATAACGGAGGCTTGATTCTCGAGGGACGAAGCCTTTGCTGTTGCTATTCTCCACAAGGTGGAGCAGCCTTTTTATCCTGGACATTTAAAATCCAAACCTTTTTGGGATAAAAAAAGAAAAGAAAAAAGGATTCTTTCCTCCTCATAATAACCAACCCGGTCTTCTCTGTCAGAAACATAGACACTGATGTCTTCAAACAGTTCCACAAGCAGACTGTACGACTCATTAAATAGATAATACATCAATTTAAAGATGTTAAATTTTGAACGTTTTGGACAGGAAAGTCCTACACTGCAAAAACAATCTAGAAATAAGTAAAAATGTCTTAGATTAAGTGTATTTACCCTTAATTTCAGTAGGTAAATAAGTTATTTTGCCAATGGAATGAGTATTTTTACTCTTAAAATAAGATAATTAGATAACATGCACTTCAAATAAAACAATTCAATTGTTTTTCTTATTTTAAATGTAAACTGTCTTATTCTATTGGCAAAGGGTCTCACTTACCTCCTCATTTTAATTTTTTTGCAGTGCAGAGAGGAGAAGGAAAAGACTCATCCATCTTAAACTAATGGTAACAGTGTCAAATTTAACTTTACATCAACTTAATAAAAATATTTATTTTGATAGTCCAACCACAAAGAAATTAATTGTCTGGATGAAACAAAATCTTTTGATTGTTATTTTTTCTTAAATACAAACAGGCCACAATGAAAATTAGCTGAAATAAATCAAAACTAGCTAGTCTATTTTTAAAATGTAAGAAGTAGAAAGTAGAGATATTTGTAAAAAAAAAATAAAAAATAAATAAGGAGTAGAAGTAAAAATTTTCTATATAAAAAATAATGATTCCAGTAAAGTATAGATAGCCAAGAATTCTTGTTCACACCTCTGACTAAGACATTGTGGCCATCAGAAAGCATTGAAACAATCGACCCCTTAGTTTGATTGTTCTCACTACAGCTTCACAACCTTCTGTTGAAAGACTCCCAATCCTGCTTTACCACTTTATAATGGAGAGCATTGCATCTTCTTACTCTGAACAGTAGATAAGGAGATATTCGTGTCAACTTTAGTCTTACTGTAGAGAACTTATACAGGTCTTTGGCTCTAGCAGCAGGTCTCTCAGAAGGATGCATGAATCTGGACCCAGGTTGTTAAACTGCAGACTGAAACCAACAACAAGCAGACACAATAATGGGACACAGAACATGCTAACAACAAGCAACAACACACAGTTCAAAACCGTTAGAAGAGCTCAGCATCACGGTGCAACAGGTTGACCAGATGTTCAAATGTTTATCTGCTGGTAAATTTGAACAAATAGGAGGATGTTTCCTCCGCGCAAACCTTCATCCAGTTCAGGAAACAGGAGGGTTAGTGGCAGGATTTCAGCCAATCAGGAAACACCTCTGCACCCAGAGACGCTACGTTTCTGATGTGGAAAATGTTTTTGCATCATTACCGCAGGAAGCAAACTTTAAGTATAAGAAAAAAAAAAATGGTAGATGATATTTTCTCTGTGATCTGTTGTGTCAGACAGTGTTAACCCTTACAGTGCCTTCCCATTAGTTAACAGAATGGCTCCAATTATCAGACTAAAGCAGGGACTCACTTCTACAACCTGTTTGGCTGCAGTTTGATATAACTACTATATGAACAAGGATGCAGGGAAGGACATGGGATCTGATGTTGTTTGTTCAAAATATTAAGGTTAGCTTGAAAAGGAGAGAGGCAGACTATAGACTATTCTCCAACAACAGAAGGTTCTTCCTTCAGGTGTTGCTTTAAAGTTTCCTTCATCAGAAAAACAGGCAGGGATCCATCTTTAGATGGAGCCTCTGCAATAGTGAATTATAATAATATAAAGAACCATTTTAGAATTTTTTGTATTTTTTAAAAATAAATATTTGATCAAATTTCATGACAGAATGACATCAAAAGAACAAGAAATCATGTATTTGATTTATTTTTTTACCTCAAATAATATCCTATAGAAAAACATCCATGCTTCATTTTTAAGAAGCTTTATATGTTTTTTTTCTCTGAGCTAAAAACACAAATAAACCGACATATTTTTTTTTAAAAAGGAAACTGATTTTCCATCTCAGATATGTAACAAAATAATAGGCTGTGTTTTATTAAACAGATATATAATATTTGCATCTCTTAAGGCTGTTTGGTTTGTAAAGGTTGCAGAGCCCTGCTCCAGTCAGGCCCTCAGAACTCCTCACATACCACTGGTGTCCCGTTCCTCCATCTCCACACTGAACAGAAAGTCCACAACGGTCTCAGACTGTAGGATGGCATCAGCTTGTGGCTCTTTATTCCACAGATCCAATGTTTTATTTTTTTTTTTTTTGGTCTAACTCACTTTTCAGAACTAGAGTGTAACTTTTTAAACTTTGTAAACCTCATTCTTTCATTAAAGAGAGTTTCATTAAAGCAAAAGTCCGGTCATATTCCGAATTTAAACTTCTGAAATTACCTTAAATAAGAAATTATGACATACTGTTTAATAAACAATAAGTGCGTTTAATTCAGAGTAATTTTCATTTGAATGTGCTTTACTGGAGGCATCCATGTTTGTCAAAGAACACTACTGCCACCTACTGGTTTGTGACGTCACGGTGCGGTATCGGCTGTTGATCAAGTCCCAGTGCTGTATCTGGTGTTTGTCACAACGCGCTATTAACCAAGTCATCTTGAAAACATTCATTTTACATATTACGTTTTTTTCTCTGGCCAGAAGTTCGATAGCAAATCCTGCCTCTTCAAGTTGTCAAACAAATGACAAACCCGACCGTGGAGGATCAGGAATCATAAAGGTGAAATAGGAATCCAGTTTGTGTGGTCTGTTTTTGTGTTTCCTTTCCTCCTCCACCAGGTTGTGCCCCGTCCTCATTGGCAGTATTGGGAAAGTTCTCTTTCTACGTGAACTAGTTCAAAGTTCAGTTCACAC